AGTGACAGTGAAATGGATGGACCTACTGTTCCAATGTCCTGCTTGGGGCTGTGTTGATGGATGCATCCTCTGCAAGTCATGTGTGATGTTCATCATTCTTTCCTGTCTTCAGACGTGCCAAAGGATCAGCAGTTCCAGGCTGTCCAGGCTGCAATCGTCCTTCTCCCAAAGGAAAACCGAGAAGCTTTGAAAATCCTCCTGTTCTTCCTGCGAGATGTGGTTGCTTTTGTGGAGGAAAACCAGATGACCCCAACCAACATTGCTGTCTGTCTTGCACCGTCTTTATTTCACCTCAACACCCTGAGGAGGGACAGTACCTCCTCCTCCACTAGGTATTAGCATCTTAATGCTTGTATTGCTGCTCTCTATAGTGTTCTTAGCTGGAACAATGCTGGCTTAAGGTCACTGTCTTCTTTGAAGAGGGAAATAGTGCATGTCTTGGTGTTTGTTTCAGCTATGTTCAGGGGCAGCAGGAGCTGACCGCAGTGCATGGGGTGATCCAGTGGCTGCTTGTCCCGTGTAGGGCAGAGTGGTAAGAAGTCACAGTGCTATGCTCCTGCCTGGTCTGTGTGTGAGCCAGCCTGCCTCCCTCCCCACTGGTGTGCTCTTCGCAGCTGCCCCAGGTCCAGCTGCCCAGGAATGCATCAGTCTCCAGCTTAAAGAGGGGAAATTGAGATGAGCTCTTAGGCAGAAGCTCTTCCCTGTGAGGGTGCTGAGGCGCTGGCACAGGGTGCCCAGAGAAGCTGTGGCTGCCCCATCCCTGGCAGTGTTCAAGGCCAGGTTGGACACAGGGGCTTGGAGCAAGCTGCTCTAGTGGAAGGTGTCCCTGCCCGTGGCAGGGGTTGGAACTGGATGGGCTTTAAGGTCCCTTCCAACCCGAACCATTCTGTGATTCTATGATTCTGTTTCCCACTGGCTGCATTGGACTAGTGCTGGCTGTTGGAAATGTGACTCCTATGCTGGCAGCCTAAGCTCAGGTGGAGCTTTAAGGCCCTGCAGGTATCTGGCAGGCTGCAGCAGCTGCTGGCACCAGTTCTGCTGGGTTATCACCAGGGGATCATTCCTGCCAAACCCAGCCACCAGGATGCTGTCAATTTATCTTAATAAGTAAAAGTCTCTGGGCTGCATCAGATCCAGTTTGTACGTGCAGGGAGAAAGGTGCCCTTGGGCCAAAGCAGATAAATAATCTCTGGAAGCATTCATGCCTTATCTGGTCTCCTGAGGCAGGGCTGTTTGCTCCGTGCTCCTGCGTACGGACATCTGTCAGGGTAGAGGACGGCTGCCTGGTGGATGGAACCTGTGCACCCATCGGAGCAGCAGTTCGTGGCCTTGCTGCGGGGAGCTGAAGATGAGGATGAGCTCTGAAGCAGACGCTGTCAGTTGTGCTGCTGGTGTCTTCCAGGCTGATGGCGTAGGCACTGGAGGGGGGAAGAAAACACTGGGGGCTTTTCTTGTGAGTGGCACAGAAGATGTGAAGCTGCCCAAGCACACCCAGAGCCCAGGGCTGAGCCAGCACACGGCCTGGAGCCAGTGTGGTGGAGCTTTGGTGGCAGCCCATCCTGCCAGGCTTGTGCTGTGTTTGAGCCCCTGGGAGCCACACTTTGAGGCTGTACCTCTCTGGCTTACATGACCATTGCTCTGAAATACTGGGACCAAAAAATAGAGTTTTCTCTTTGTTGTCACTGTTCAGAAGCCAGGATGCTTTGAAGCTTCAGCTTCTTTGTAACTGGGCATTAATGCCGCAGTGTAGGCTTCTGACTTCAAAGGGCAGGAGCTGACAGGTCTGACTTTGAGGAGCAGCGCTAAGGACTCTTATCTTCAACCCAATTTTCAAGCCATTTGGCAGGAATGCATGTAGATGAAAGTATCAGAAGCCAGGATTAATGATGTCATGTAGTGATTATGAATTACAAGAGGGGACTGTTTTTGAAACATGGTTGGTGCGGTTTGGGCTAAAAGATTTAGAAGGTTCTGTGTGGGCTTTGCAGGGTTATCCAAGGAGTTTGGTAGCACACACACATCAGTTTGGGGTCATTGCTGCCTTTGGCCACTTGTGTTGATGTGCTTGGGGAATAACAAGCCTTGACTTGTCTTTCTTGGGCACAGTGGTCAGTGCTGCCCCGGGCACTCCTGGCGTGCTGGAGGCAGTGCTGGCTGTGGACCTTGCGGTAGCGACAGAGCAGGCGCCCCTGCAGGGCAGAGCGGGTCCGTCAGTGCAGTGCTTTCACTGGGCGCTGGTTCCCCGCCTCAGGCAGAGCAGCGGAGCGGGCACCCTGCGCTGTGGGGCACAGCTGCCTGCTCACAGCCTGCCCTTACCGACCCTCTCCCCAGATCCAGCCAGAGGAAGTGCAGCCTGGGGAAGCCGGACCAGCGGGAGCTGAGTGAGAACCTGGCAGCGACGCAGGGCTTGGCGCACATGATCATGGAGTGCAACAGACTCTTCCAGGTACCACCCTGCTGCCGCCTGCTCCGAGCAGCGCGTTGGGGCAGAGCCCGGGGCCCGGCTGCTCCCCAGCGGGCCGGTGCCCGCAGCAGGGGGAAGCTCAGCCTCAGGGTGGGGTTTATGGATCAATCACAACTGTTCGCAGTCTGGGAGCGTTCCTCCGGCTTGGGGCCAAGGGAGGGCACCCGTGGGGCACCCGTGGGGCAGTGGCTGGTGCCGGGAGGGACGCCTCGGCTGGGGCTGACTTGACCGGCCCTTGCGGGACGGGTTGGAGTGGAGGTTTTGCTGCCGGGGCGGCGGCAGAGCAAGGGCCGTGCCCGAGCCTGGTCACCTGGTAACCTGCGGGCCTTGACCCACAGACTGACTTCCCGGCGTGACCTCGGCCTCTGCTGCTCTCCGCGGGCTCGCCTGGCGATCAGAGTGCCCTGACCCTGGCTGCTGTCACCGCCCCTCGCTCGCTGGCTCACCCCCTGGCTCCACCTTGGACCTCACCGCCATGATGCGTCTGATGATCTGGATTCTGGGCTGTCCCTGCCGGCCGCCTCTGCCCGGCTCAGGTCCTGCGGGACCAGCGGCTGCCCTGCCAGCCCTGTTATCACACTGACTCCTGGCTCCGTTCCCTCAGGGTGCCCCCAGCCCTTGGTGCACCCAACAGTCAGCTTGGACCTTCTGCGGCCCTGCAGCCCCGCGGCTGGGCAGGGGCTCCCCTGGGCTGACACTGCCCTGCCCCGGAGCCCCCAGCACTGACCCCTCAGCCAGCCCCGGCCTCTGTGTGACACTGACCCCCCCAGCCCAGCCTGGGGCTGCATCCCCCCCCCCCCCGGAATAGCCCCACAGGGACTCTGAGCCACCCTTGGACCTGCAGATCCTGCACCTCCTGCTACCACCGGGCCACTTCCCACAGGTGCCACGGTGAGCTGCGGGGCTGCCCTCTCCAAGGGGTGCCCCCTGCCCTGCCCTGCCCTGCCGAGGGTTCAGTGCTGACACTCGGGGCTGCTGTGCCCTTCTGCTGGTGACCATGAGGAGCAGCCCGTGCCTGGACCCCAGCCCAGGCCCTGGCACTGTCCCTGCCTGGGCCCGTGCCCACCGCTGGACCGCGCCTGGTGCCGGTACCACAGGGCCTGACCCTGCCCGGTCACCCCCGCCCGCTGCGGCGCCACAACCGGGACACCCGGGCGGCCCCGCTGCCGCTCCGTGCCCGCGCTGCCCATGCTCAGGTACTCGGGATGGGAGCGGGGAGGGCCGGGCGGTGGTGCGGGCCCGGGGCGGACCCCCCCTGGCTCGGGCTGTGGGTGCTGGCGCTGGGGTGTTGGTGGCCACGTCGAGCAGCCGTGAGGAGACCGTGTGTGCACAGCATGTGCGCTGGGTGCGCTGGGGGCTGCCACAGCTGAGCCCTCCCCAGCCACTGCCTATGGGACATCGGGTAAAAATACCCCTATCTTTTGTATCTGTGTGTATCTATACAGAAATCTGCACGCACACGTGCATATAGACACACTGATGCATGGCAGCAAGCACCTCAACCCAGAGCAACACCTACTCGGACAGGAGCAAAGCTGTTTCTGTGCTGCTTTACTTCGCACAGCAGCTGCCCCCACCCCTCAAAGCAAAGGAACGAGCCACGGCCCACTGCCTTGTAGCTGACGGTGTTTCCTCGAGGTTTCCCCTGCAAACGCAGCAGAGGTTTGCGAGCTCTGCAGGGATTCAGAACATCGCTGCTCTGGGGAACGGCGTTTCCCTCGTGTTTTCCAGCGGGAATGGAATTAATCGCTCTGCTCCTCCCCTGGTGAGCCTCCTGCCTGCTGCTGGCGGCGCTGCTGCCCTGAGGCGCGCAGGGAGCACCCCTCTTGTGCAGGCTGGTCCAGGCACCGTGCACAGCGCAGTGCTGTGGATGCAGGTGGTGCAGCCCACTGCCTGTGCTCCGGTGTTGTGGGAAGCGTGTGGTTTCATATCCCACACGTGTGTTCAAGTTCAGGTCTCAAGTGTGATGTCCCATCTGTCACAGGTACCCGACTTGCCTTGGTCAGCTCATGAGCACCTTCCATGAGACAAGCATTCAGGGCTGGCACTGCTGGGCTGGGATGAGGCTGCCTGGCTCCCAAGAGCTCTGTGCTCGGCTGAGGGATGCCAGAGATGACAGCAGAAACTGGGGACCTGCTCCCACTTGGCAATAAGGTAAAGAGGGTGGTGAGCACCATCAAAGCAAGGTTCCTCCAGCAGCATGGGTGACTGCACTGTGGTTAGAGGATTTCCTGGAGGTGCTCTTGGGCATTCTGAGTTCTCAGTCCTTAAACTGCAGCCTGAGGGAGAGGTGTGCTGTGTATGGGTCTGGGGGTTTGGTTCCTGCAGAGAATTGCTCTGGGCTGTGCCTGTGGCCACTCATCTGCCTCTGTACCTGCAGGTTCTGCTCCTGTGCTCTCCCTTCCTTACTCCCACCCCCTTCCCTTCTTGCCTTCTTACTTCCCCCGACTTTTATTCCCTCTTTTTAATCCTAAGGGAGTGCTGCTCCCCCAGAGCATCTTTCCTACCACAACCCCACCCCAAAAGACACAGACACTTCCAGTTGTTGAGTCCCTTTATTGTCACCCTACAGGAAACAGCTACATCCTCTGCACAGGCTTAATCCCCAGGATGTCGAATCCTTTGGCCATGACGGTGGCAGTGGCTTCGCATAGCAGCAGCCTCCACATGTTCACCTTCACGATCTGGCCTGCAAAACATCACCATGGGAGTTGGAACAGGACAACCAATGCTGCCTTCCCCAGGGGAACCCCCTCTGCCCACAGCCTGGCCCTGGCTGAGCGCCCTGCCGCCCTCCAAAGCCAGGAAGACTGACGAGCCCTGCATTTCCATGTGCCTGGCTGCTCACAGCTCTCTACTCCACCTGCTCACACAGGCCAGTGACCACACAAGCTGTGCCAGCCACCTTCAGTTCTCCCACATGAATAACACTGGTTCTGCATCAGCAAGCCCCATGGCCAGCACTCACCACTCTGCCTGTCCTTCTCAACACAATAGCAGTTGTCGTAGAACTCAGTGAAGGTGGTGGCCAGCTCATAAAGGTAGTCACAGAGCGTGTGCAATAACAAGTCCTCCAGGATCTTCTGCAGGATCTCGGGGAACCTCAGGATGCACTTGCCCAGTTTCCACTCCTTCTCATGGTCCAGAACAAGCACCTCTTCCCTGGCTGCCTTCCGCAGCATCTGCTCGTCAATGTTGGCCAGGCGGGCAATGGCCCTGCAATGACCCAAACCACAGTCTGCTTGTGAGGGTCCCACCTCTTCACTGCCCAGGGCCAGCACTGGCCACCCGCTGGCCTCCTCACTTGCCCAGTCCGGTTACCAGGCCAGAAGAGAGCAGTCAGCCCCGGAATGCACTGCAGAGGAACAGGGAGGGACATGCTCTGGGCACAAGTGTCAGGAAGGACAGCTGATGCTGCCACACAAACCAGAGCTCGGGGTGCCAGAAAGCCTGCATGGGGCATGGCAATAAACTGATGTGAGGAGGTGCTGGAACAGAGGCTCACCCCTTCCCAAACACCCAATACCTCTGATGGAATTACTGAAACTCCCACAGTTCCTCCCAGCCAGCTAAAGGCCTGGGACACACGGTGCACAGAGGAGCCCTGCTGCAGACAGCAGATGACACCATTCCCAATGACAAATAAAACCTTTCCTATGGTGCATACTGGTGTAGCTGGCTTCTCTTACTAACCACCCTTAGCAGCACTGATGCAATAATTCACCCCTTTCCCCACATCTCCCTTTGCAAGAGAATCAGAGATCAAATCCAAACAACTCTCAACATACCTGATGCGGGTGAAGGCGTACAGCAAGTAAGCAGCTGTGTTCCCCCGGTCGTCCAGCATCTTGTCAAAGGAGAACACGTAATCATTTAGTCTGTTGTGGGAGAGATCTGCATATTTAATACATCCAAAAGCGACTGACGTCTGGGCAGCTTTCAGCTCTTCTGCCGTGAGGACCTGTTGCAATTCCAGAACAGATAAGTCATGAGGAAGGAGGTTATGTTGGTACCACTAGCCACAACATTCAGCCCTAGCCACTTGGCATGGCTCTAGCCCTCACTTCCCCTGCAATCCAATGGCCCTGCAGCCCTGCCAGGTTAAGGCTGACTCCCTTTGCTTGTAAAGGCCCATCAGACCTCTGGCCCCATGATGAACTGTCTGCCACAAAGGTTTGGTGCTGATAAGGTGCTCCTGCTTCTTACAAACTGCATGTGCACATAAACACGCAGCCCTCCTACCTTTATAGAGGATTTTGGACACAAAACCCCTCTCTGGTGGAACCTTGCCCTGTCAGCAAGGCAAAGCGCTTTTGTGTTAGGCTCAAGTGAACCCTTGTGAGATTTTCAAGGTGGTTTTTAATGTGCTTCCTTGTGCTCCTTTTTAAAAAGGGATCTTTCACTTTCACCCTACACTGCACAGCAATAAGGAGCTGTGCTTCCCAATTCCAGACTCACACAGTGAGTAGACAGTGTGGTCCTTCTGTTCCATTCCATGTCCCACACTGTTCAGTTCTCTCCAGGCTACCAAGATGCAGGACAGAAATGTCATTAAAGACATTGCAAAGCAAAGGGCTTTCAGCAAACTTAGCCACAGCACCCAAGGGAAAGGGTGAAGCCAAAGTCCCCAGCAGATCCCTGGCCACCCACTACCACAACTCACTGCAGACAAGCAGGCCAAGGTTGCAACGTTCCATTCTGCCCCACCTCCTGCACCTTGGGGCAGTCACAGCTGTGGCCATAGCAACGTGGAGGCCTCACAGCACCAGCAAGGCCAGCTGTCTTGCCAGGCCCTCCTCTCCTGAGGGAGCTCTGCAGTACCAGAGGCCAGTGTGCTGCCTGCAGCTCAGATCTCCCCGCTGCCATGTGTTCAGGGATGCTCTTCTTTCCCTTGACAGCACCTTGCCTGACCTGCCTACCAAGTAATCACACTCAGCTCACATCCACAATGTGGAAACCATAAGTTAGTGAAAAAATCTGGGAAGTTCTCAGGAAAGATAAGCAATTTGTCACAAGTACCTTGTCCCGCTCCTTGTCCTTCAGCTTGTCCATAGCTCGTTTCAGCCCTTCCTCCAGCAGGTCTATAAGACGCACTGTATCCCCTGAACGAGTTTTGAACTTCTTCCTGAGAACACAGAGCCAAAATGACCACCTGCATAAGAGGCCAAACCACTTCCACACTCTGCCCAGGGTCAGCATGTGCCCAGGCAGATCACAATATGCATCAGAACTTCTTGCAGGCATTTCCACCTTAAATTTTGTAACAACCCTCCAAACCCAGCCCATCTGCAATGGCAGGTGACTGTCAGAGCACACTGCTTCAACCACCACCTTCAGAGACACTAGAACAGCTCTGGAGCACAAGGGCCTGCCTGCAGACGTGGACACAAGAGGTTCTTTTCCCAGCTTTTTTTCATCGACCATGAGGCAGGTAGCAAGGAATGGCCATCACGGCCATTACCACTGCTATCTCCCTGTATTCCTATCAGCTTCCTCTGCACTTCCACCAGCCATTCCCAGTGCGCCTCCACCAACAGCAGGCAGAAGAAGTCAGGCAACCTGACCACAGCACCAGTGACTAGGTGGCTCAAGGACCGTGACACAATGAAATGACATGGTTACAAATAACAGCATGGGATGCACTGCATGGGTTTTTTTTAGCATGCCACGTACATACTTGTCGTCAAACAAGAGCAAGTCTTCTGCATTCACTCACACAGCCTCTTCAGAGCACATACAGAGGAAGAAATCCACACTTACTTGTCCTCTCCCAGCACCACTCCGAACGCGGCATGTGCCACTCTGGTTACTTTAGGATCGTACCAGCCAATCATCTGCCCAGCTGCAAACACTGTCTGCAAATGCCCCGACTGCAAGGAACAAATGCCAACAACTGGTTCTCAACCCACTCCTCCAAGGACACTTTTCTTCTCAGCTTTCTCTCCTTCACAATGCTGTTTTCACAATGAGACTTGAAATGTTTCTAGCTCCACAGACAAATGCCACTTCAGAATGCTCAATGTTTCCAGGAGTTTTCCTGGCTTACAGAAGCAGTAACTGGCAAATTCCCATCACTGCTCATATATGGAGCTGACAACCCTGCATCTCTTCAGGTAAGGAGCAACCACAGTGTAAGCAACAGAAATCTCATTCCAGACTCATCTATTGAGATTTAGGCTTCACCCACTTCCAGTGGTAAACTGGGTCTCTCCCTAATCAACTGCTTCATGGGGCTATACATGGAGACCACCAAACTTGATTCACCATTATACCAGTGAGGACAAGAGTAAATATACACACTAAAACTCTACAGACTTCTGCCTACATGAGCGTTGCACCTGTCATGTAACACCCTTTCTGATGCTTTGTACCAGCAGTGACAGAGGGTGACGCACTCACCTGGCCACTATCAACAACATAGATAATGATATCAGCCTTCTCTTCACACAGCCTGTGCTTAAGAGCAGCTAAGTCAGATGTGTCATAGGTGTAACCTCCATCTGATTTCATGATCGTCAACGGGATAGGGAAACCTGGGACAAACACGATCTTCCGGCCATCATCAACCTGGACAAATCCTAGAAAAGCAATGGAAAATATCCTGTGTTGTATTGCAGAGGGAGCTTTGTGGGCCAGCACGTGCAGAAACACCCCTTCCTGGATGCTACCAGAGAGAAAAGGCCATGCACCCATACTATGAAATCATTAATGGCTCAAAATATGAATACACCTACATGGACTCCCTCACCAACCATGTCACAGCAAGAATTCAAGGCTATGCACATGGAAGTGGATCTGTACAGATCTGGCATTTACCAGAAGAGACCTAATTGGATTTGAGAACTCCTGTCCCTGGCACCCAGATCTACCTTTAACAAAACCAGCATCACAAAGTGTGGCACTGAAGGCAGTGATGCAGTTAAGGACTTAGCACAAACACTTCAGATGGCAAGACTCAAGAACTGCCAAATCCAGACAGGAACACATAAACCCAGACTTTTTATGCTCCATTTGGCTTCTGGCCAGTCCCAAAGTCAGCATAATCAAAACATACCACTGTCTTCTCAAAGATCTCTCCAAGTTCCCATTCAGTCACAACACCAACTGTGGGCAGTCTGCCATATATTGCTCCTTGACTATTTACTAAGGATACGATGAATTCCAGTAGTACCTCACACTATCACCTACAAATATCACAAACTGCTTCTGGTGTCAGCAAGAATGATTCAAGATTTCTGGAATGAAGCATGCAAGAATCACTTCTGCCAATGCTTCCCTGGGAGGAAAAGCCACAAAAGACCCACTGAGGAAATGTGGCTGTGAAAAAGAGCAAGGCTGGGGAACATGGAATTTCACAAACATCAGTTCTAAGCCTCACTGCACAGGACTGCGGTTACCTCAAGGTTACTTTGACTCTGAGACCAAAAGCCTCACCTTTATCTTCAAATTCTTTTACGATGTCTTTCATCATGTCGTGGTAGAACGATTCTCCTCTCTCTGTGAGCGTAATGTCCAAGCAGTTGTAGATTTTCTGGAACTCTTGAGGAGGGAAACAGAACAAAATGCTTCCATTAAATGCACACAGTAGGAATTAGTGGCATATGTTTAACAGGGGGCACAGCAAGTCCCCAAAGGCATTTTCCATCTCCCGGTCAAGCCATCAGACCAAGACTGAAGAGACAATGCTCCACAGACAGCCCAGTTCTTTGGTTGTGTTGGCTTTTATCTTTAAGCTTCTCCCAGCAGCATGGCAGTGATTTTCAAAGGAAAACCAGAGCATGGGCTCAGACACAGAGGTGAGGAAAGGCACAGTTCTGCTGCTGGGACATGCTCCTGAACGTGGCAGTCACCTTTCCGTGACACGTCGCAGATGAGCTCCCAGGCTTTGATGAAGTCGGGGGTTTTGCTCTGCAGCAGCACCACACATTGGTAGGCACGTTTCTTGAACTCCTCCTCTGTGTCAAACCGCCTCTTGGACTCCTACAGGGAAACACACCACATGAAAAGCACTGATCTCTTCCCTGATACAAGCTAACAGGCGTAACAGGCTCTCCAAGCACACTCATCTCAAAAGACAGAGGCAGCATGCTTACAAAGTCCTCTGATGGTGCCCCATACAGACAACTCAATGCCAGATACCACAATTCATCACCCAGTGACAGGTTATTGCACTAACCCATTAATAGTGATCACTTCTTTTGTTTCTCAAAAGCTATGCTGCAGTTTGTAAAGCCCCTCAATATGCTTTTCCAATGTTGATGTAAACTTCACACTTATTTGCTACAAGTACCTTGTAAAAAGCTTGGAGATCCCCAATGGGAGGAGAAACTGTTAAGTAATCCGGAAATTTGTCTTGGAGGTGAGCAATGAGCATTCCAAACTGGGTGCCCCAGTCTCCTAAATGGTTTAACCTTAAAGCAATTGAAAAGCACAGTGACTTTGCAAAAGTATGCTTTAAAACACATGCATTTCAGAAACATATATCCTAAAAGAAGAAACTGACATAACAGCACCAAAACCAGGCCAACACCCACAGTTTCACTGCATGAAGGTTCTTCCCATCTTCATTCCCAACCTACTACATTCCATCAGCTTAGTATTTTATCACATGAAAAGGATTATATGTGTGCTTATAAACAGACAGCACAGACCAAAGCCCTGGGATACTGTATACACTCACCCAAGCAAGCCCAGCACACCCCAAATGGACTCTCACCTCAAAACATCATAGCCAGCAAATTCAAACAGCCGGCACATGCTTTCTCCAATGATAGTGGACCGCAGGTGGCCAACGTGCATCTCCTTTGCAATGTTAGGGGATGAGAAATCCACGACCACCTTACACACAGCACCAGAGGACAAACAAAGAGCAGCAGTCATTACCACACTGTGTGTTTGACCTGGGCTTTGCTGGAGGAACGAGGCTGACCCTCACACCCATTGCCGCCAACAGCACACAGCAGCAGAGGAGGCCCTCGGGGGACATGAGAACAGTCTTCCAGCCTGGGGCTCTGCTGCACCCACCAGAATGAGCTTGGCACAACACTCCCCACCCCGGGAGCCCTGTCCCTTACCCACCAGAGATTGCACCAGGTAGGCACAGCCCACCCTACAGCCCCAGTCCCTAAATCACACCCCATTTGCTGCTGTAACAAGCAGCTGACATGGACATCTGCTCAACAAACCACCTCAGGGAGAACTGCAGAGCTACCCACAGCCCAGCACAGCTCATCCCTATGGGAGCAGGATGCCTGTGTGCTTACTGCTGTACCTTTCTCCTTTTGCCAATAGCCGGTGGCTGAACTCCATTCACCAATAAACTGCTCAGCTGCTTCGACACAAAATCCCTTCTCAAGTGGACATTGATAAAACCTGGAGAGGAGAAAAACAGCAATGAGTGCTACGGCTGCAGAAGTGCCTCAAAGCACTTTTTGTTTCCTCACATCAAGGACAAGAGCACGGGAACCTTGGTTTGACAAACCAAAATCAATTTTTAGCAACAGGGCAACAAAGCTGTCACTAGAGGACAAATTCTGCTCCCAGTTTCAAGAGTCTGTTTCACAGCACTACAGCCTGTCTTACAGGAGATAGATGCTGCAAGTTAACCCACTGACATCACTCCTTTCTGCACAGGGTCATTCAAATGTGAATTTAAGAACATTTTTAATGAGAAAATAACCTTGCCAAGGTTTGCAGAATGCAAAACCAGATCCTGCTTTGTCTCCTTTCTTTAACTTAATACCCTAAACCACACCATTTCACCTGGGATAATCCACACTTGTGGGACAACACTAACTTCAGCTTCACAAAGCTAAGGAATGAGCTTCTACCCAAGCACACGAAGGGCTGCGCCATGTGAATTCTGTGTTTATGCTGAAGCTCAGAGGAATGCAAGTCCTCGTATTTCTTCCTGGGTCACAGGGCAGATGCAGGAATTCATAACCTCCATGCTACTGCAGCATCTCAGTGCTAAGAGGCCAAGATCTCCGCCTCATGCCAGCAGCAGTGAGAAGGGCATGTGGATTTTTGCTGTGATTTCGTGATGCAGCCTGATACCCATCACCACCAACAAAGGAGAAAAGCTGGTCCCTTAAGGATCAGTGGAAAACTTACTAATTAAAGGGCTTAGCATGGCAACTGCCAATTCTAATACAGATGCAGTTTTGCTGCTCTACACAGGTCTGAGGGCTACAAAGCTCTCCAACACCGAAGCAGCTAATTCACCCTGTAACTGCAGTTTTCAATTGTGGAACAGTTAAACAAAGTTTCCCTGATCACCATCCAGTATAAAATTGCCCTATCAGCTTTAAAGCACAAAGTGTGTAACATGGAACTCCCTTACCAGGCCCAGCGATTTCAACCTTCTCAATGCATTCATTAGCAGGAATATGTTTTGTTATTTTCTCGGCGATTTCTCTTGGGCTGACCTTCTGTTCCTTGGTTTTGAGCAGGATCTGAAACACAACAAGAGCAGGTAAGATTCACTCCTCCGTAACGTTGTACAGAGGGAAACAGAAAGCACAGGTAGAGCAGCACTGAGAGATCCTCAGGATTGTTTAGCTTCCTAATGTATAGACATAAACATCTCCAGCAAATATGTCAGGTTAGATCAGTCCCTCTCTAGAGCAGAAGTGTAACCAGACCCACCATGTCCACTCCCTTCTGTTAAGGACAAATAAAGAGCAGTTCCTATGTCAGAAGAAAAGCTTCCAGGGTATTTTTGAAACATTGTTAAGAGGTTTGGCAAATTCCCATCTCTCTAAACTAGGAAAAGGGACAAACAAAGCTGGCATAGTCCTTCGCACTGCTTCAAAACCCTGTTCCTCAGTCTCACAGGTACCCTCAGCTCTGCCAGCATTCATATTCGAAGTTCTGAGCTGTGCCTGCAGTAGATGCCGAGTGTGGTTTCGGAGCAAGCTGCTAATTTATGATTAAAAGCAAGCAAAGCTTGCTTCTACCTTCAGCCCTACCTGAGACTGAATAATAAAGTGACTAAATAAACAAAATCCCACAAGCCAAGCAACCAAACCTAATTCTAACACTGACAAATTCTCTTCAAAAGGCATCAGAGAATCTGCTGGTAAAGGAGCTCTCCTTTTGTCTCCAGCTATTAATGGCCCACTTGGAGGAACTCAAAGAACATGATGCAAGTTCACATCCAATAATAGCATCAGAACAGTTTGGTTTGGAAGGGACCTTCTGAGATCATCTAGTCCAACTCCACAAGTTCTGTGTCCATTCCCAAGGTACTTTCTCACATAGCTTTACAATCTCACAGAAACATTCCTCAGGAGGGCCCTCTGAGACAGCCCAAACTGTTCCTGCGAATCACTGCATCACACTGCATGCACCCACCACAACTATTTGTTTCTGAGTACATGATTTTCCGTTCTTATTGTGATGTGTTTGAAAAGAATCTATCCCCTCATTCCCATCAAGGACAAACAGCATGTACCTCTCTGTCAATTCAGAACTGACTCACTACTGCTTGTATTTGCTAACTTGCAGTCTGTGCAAAATGTGACTTCTACTTCAGTTTCAGCTTCCTATTTAACCTGTCATACAGCTGATAATAACAGGATCCTTACAAGTTGAAAAAAGCTTTGGCAGGGGCAAGAAAAGAAAACCTCTGTTGCCTGTAATGCTACTCGAAGTGCAAACTACAGGAAAAAGAAATGTAAACCCAGATTATGGGCATGTTATACCAGATGACAGGCGTGTTATCTGAATCCCTCCAGAAACAGCCACCCTACTCCTATTACTGTAAGGAGCAAACACTGCTCCTGGCTCAACCCTCAGCATTCACACGCTAACGAGCTCCCAGTAAAACAATGTGCGCTTGTGAGGGCTGTTTCCACATGGGCGCACCAGAGGGAGAGGATGCTGCAGGGCACGTACCAAGCAGGGCAGGTCCTGCTCCTCTGGCAGTCGTGGTGAGTGGTGTTTCAGCTCTGTGCAGGGGACGCTGGGGGAGTGAGGCTATGGAAGACCTGCCCCACAGTCAAACCCTAAAACTCAGGCTGATGGGAAGTACAGAACCTGCTGCTCTCAGAGGGAAATGGCTGCACTGCGTCCCCTGGCTCTGCTGTGCTGACGCGCCCTAACTGTGCTGCATGCGTGAGTATCACCCAGCTCGTACACAGTGCTCTTCCACAGCAAGCCCAGCACTAGGAACTGTTACTCCTCAGCACAGCTGACAATATGGGACTTGACACCCTGGCCTGAAGGGGACCGTCCAGACGCCGAGTTATGCGAACAATGTGGACATGGGAAGCCAGGACTGCTCGAGAATCCCAACAGCCACTTAATTGGGGTAAAGCAGCGGTCAGAAAGCTGGCAAAGCTCTGCAAGGCCCCGTCAGTGCATTCACCCAGTACTGCCCTGGCTGCAGCCCAGGCCCAGCATGATGCTCATGAGACCAAGGGAAGATGGCACCTATTTGTGAGGGCTGGTTCCAGAAGCCTGCCGGCTAGCACGTATGGATGCTGCCGGGTGTCAGTCTCACTGAGGCAGAACAGACACAGTGGCTGCAGGGTGACAACCTGGGTAGAATTCCACGTGTGTCAGTTCCATGTCAAAGTTATCAGCCCAATAGACTGATAGTGGTGAACTGACTACAGAACACTTAAAAAAGTTTTTTCTAATTGCAAAATGAAAGACCTGCAATTACGAGAGTCTAAGCAGTCAATCAAAGGCACCAAAGCATTCAGTTGGTGTGTTTTAGCACCTACTTTCTCTACGACCTCCTGGTTTTACTTCAGCACAGTCCCAGCCCACTGAGGCAACTCCTGAAGTGTCTCTTATTCTGCTTGGGTCCGTTTTGGTCAAATACCTTCCAGAAAGCAGCAATGTCATAACATTCAAAGTAACCACTGATACAAACCAGGTTAAGAAAACCCACTCCTTCCCCTGCATGCACCTAAGAGATGTTCTGTAAATTGGAACCACCCTTACAGCTGCCTGAAAACTTCCAAGATCAGAACAATATCAAATCATAGAATGGTCTGGGTTGTAAAGGACCTTAAAGCTCATCCAGTTCCAACCTCCTGCCACGGGCAGGGACCCCTTCCACTAGAGCAGCTTGCTCCAAGCCCCTGTGTCCAACCTGGCCTTGAACACTGCCAGGGACGGGGCAGCCACAGCTTCTCTGGGCACCCTGTGCCAGCGCCTCAGCACCCTCACAGTAAAATCGTAACAAACACCCCCCACGTTTCCTGCTTTTTGCTCATTTAAAAGAAAATATAGATGCCACCAACCATAGATGTGAGGAAGATCACACAGCCTCCCCTCAGCAGATGCTCGGATAACAGCCAGTAAGATACAAACAAGAGCACAAAGTGTGCATGGAACAGTGCACTCAGGTCCACCTCAAAGAGCATTTGTCACAAAACTGAAAACGCTTCCAGGAATGCACCAAAAATCAGCCAAATTCAGCTCTAACCAGGGAATTAATAAGAGGTGTTTGAAATAAAGCAGTCAGAGGAGTATGCAGCACAGTGCCTGAGTAGCAGCCTATACCTGGCTGGACACTGTGAGGAGATGCTGCGCACACCACAGCCCCTGCACAGAACAATGACCCATGTCACCAGATCCAAGAGCAGAGCAGTTCAGGATGCAGCATGCAGGGACCTGAACCCTACCCAGGCACACAGCGTGCACCCAGGCCCCTCTCACTGACGTGTCAGTGGGCAGTAGAAACCTGCAGCACCCACACCAAGAGGAGATGTGTGCCCTGAAACGGGGTGGCGTTTGTAGCTCTCCTTTCCTGTGAGAAGGGGGTGTGTGCACACAACTCTGTGGATGTGGGGACACTGCACGTCCCCCACACTACACAAGAGCATTCTGAGATTTGTAGTGTTTGTAACATTTGTAACTGTCCAGACTTGGGATTTATTGTTTTCCTGATACCAGTTCCAAACTCAAATACAGCTCACTACTTGGTAGTTAACTGCACAGTTAGTAAATCAATGCAGCACTTCAGTCCCAGTTTGATTTAGATCCCACAAACTGAGCAGCTGTTCTGCGTGACACACATGTAACTCTCTTACTGTCTAACCAGAGGCTTAAAGAACTACTCTGTGAAGGCCAATGCTTCCCCTAAAATGCCATTAGATGCTCACTGAATTCTCAGCCCAGAGGTCTGCAGCAAGCTTGAAACAGGTCCACAACTGCAACTCTCCCTGTGTTACCACACAGCTTCCAAAAGAAGCATCCCAAGGTTTAGTTCTCTTTGTAAGACTGGTCAGATTTACCTGTGTGATGCCCATGGCGCTGTTACACTGGTAATCTCCAAATTTGGGCTGCTGACTTGGTGTCACCACTAGTGGAGGGTTTTCTAGCTCTGGGTAGGCAGCCTGAATAGCAGCTCCAAAGATCTCCTGAAGGCAGCTGTTGATATTAGTCATGCTTTTCTCTGGTTTACTTCTTTCCTCCTGAAGGCTCTGAAAAAACAAACCCCAGAAGGCTAAATTCACAACATCTGGCAGCTGTTACACACTTCTTTTTTCCCTGGCTGCCTGGCAAAGCGGCTCACAGATGTGGCTGACACCTCTAGGCACGGGAACAACGAATATGAAAAATGCCATGATTGAGGGGCTGCTGCTCCCATTGAGCCTCCCAGCACGAACACTTCCCTGAGTGCAGGGCTGCACCTTGCCAGTGATCTGGCAGAGATGTTGGCTGAGCTGCCCGTTCCATGACCAGCCAAGACGTGATACTGTGGCCTTATAAACCTACTGACATCTGTCATAAAGTAGGCTCCTGTTTAAGGAACAAGGAAATATCTGATGTGCCACCAACAATGAAGTGCTGGGATGCAGTGAGAGCACACTGGCACACAGCACTAGCTCTGACAACTGACAGCACTTATTTAGCTTGTCTTAACAAGAACCAGCCCTATGTGCTGCAGCATTCATTCTTCCTCCCTTACCTTCCGAAGGAAGTTCAAGCGATACTTGAGCTTCGCGTTCTCGTCCCGCAGCCCTTCCAAACTTGGGGACACTCCCAAGCACCCGGAGTTCTTCAGATGCTCGATCTCTGCAGTTAACAACCTGATCTCGTTCTCCTGAAAAGCAAATGGAATTGTCACACAGGCATCCCTGGAGGCGGGGGCACACCAAGGTGAGGAGCTGCAAGATCTCAGGCAGTTCTAGTTCTGTCTCACAAAGGTTAACAGCAAAAGCAAGAGCGGAGCAGTGACATGGGGAACTCATCCCCCAACCCTCAAATGTGAAAGCGCAAAGGTATCTTCTCCTTTTAACATCACATCATTCTGTGTCCCCCCAAATGATTCATTTTTTAAGTTGTTTCTATTTCTGTCAAACCCAGGGATTCAGAGACATTCCTTAAAACCTCAATGAGAACAATCTCACAGATATCAAGACAGATGCGCAAGACAGACAACAGGTTGTGCTAATAGAACATGTTCCCAAAACAAGCCCTTTCTCCAGCTTTTTGAATTTAATAAAGATGCTTCAAAAACTCCCTAAAGCCTCTTCAGGCAGTTTCATCATCTCACAGGCCACAGTTTCTCCTCCAGAGGGTGAAACCACAACCACTCATACAACCCCAGCAACCCAGACAAGAAGTGCAGCGTGCCACTGCAGAGGGGGATCACAGGGGAATCCATAGGGCCATTTCTGCAGCCTGCATTCACATCCACCTTGCTGCACAACCTTTCCTCCATGGCTTCTCCCTTAAAACTGACATCCGGCATTCAGCAGCAATCAGGAATTTCAGGTGGACCTCTATACCCAAATCACAGAGTAGTCTGCGTTGGAAGGGACTTTCAAAGCTCCTCTAGTTTAACCACCTGCAATGGGCAGTGACATCTTCAACTAGAGCAGGTTGCCCAGAACCACATCCAGCCTGGCGGTGAATGTCTCCAGGGACGGTGCATCCACCACCTCTCTGGGCAACCTGTGAGGCTCCTCATTGTAAAGAATCTTTCCTCACACCAGCCTGAATGTCCCTTTTAGTTTAAAACCACCACCCCTTGTCTTGTCGCACCCGGCCCTGCTAAAAAGCCTCTCCCCATCTTTCTTACAGGCCCTTTTTAAGAACAGGAAGGCCGCAGTAAGGTCTCCTCAGAGCCTTTTCTTCTCCAGGCTGAACAACCCCAACTCTCTCAGCATTCCCTCACAGCAGAGGTGCTCCATCCATCTGAAAATTTCCGTGGCCCTTCTCTGGACCCTCTTCAACAGGTCCATGTCTTTCCTGTACTTGACTCCAGAACTGGATGCAGGACTGCAGGTGCGGTCTCACCAGAGAAGAGCAGAGGGACAGAATCACCTCCCTTGACCTCCTGGCCACACTCCCCTGCATGCAGCCCATGACACCACAACAGGCCTCTGTTCTGCAAGTGCACATTGCCTGCTCACATCCAGTCTTCCACCCACCAGTACCCCCAAGTCCTTCTCCTCAGGGCGGCTCCGAACCCTTCCATCCCCCAGCTTGTGTTGATACCAGGGGTTGCCCCGACCCATGTGCAGGACCCTGCACTTGGCCCCACTGAACCTCAGGAGGTTCACATGGGCCCCTCTTGAACCTGCCCCAGTCCCTTTGGATGGCATCCCATAAACAAACTGCCCTGTGCTCCTTAGACCTCACAGCTGGGTCACTGGCAAATGCTTCAGCCAGCAGCCTCAGCCCAGTGGTGGGAACTGCTGTAAGGAGCAGTCATGCTCCCAGCCCCAGAGACACCAAGCACCTGAAACTTCATTGCTGGTGGCCACCTCTTGTCCTCCCCCATCACAGGCTTTGTGCCCATCAGCCACAAACCTGGCTCACCAACACAACGCTGGAGGCTGCTGAAGGTGCAGGTGACTCAGTGCTGCTGTGACGGGTGCAGGCAGCAGGGGCAGTGAGAAAGCCCCTCAGGCTCTCCTCCACCAGAACCCCACAGCAGGAAGCAGCTCAGGCTACTCCTGCAGGGAAATAGGTCACCAAACCTCACCAAAAAGGGCTCATTTGCTCTGGTGCTTGAAAACAATCAGAATATTTAATTAAGGAAAAAACTGGGCCATGAAATCTTGTCTTACATATCCCCCTGAGCAACAGCTCCCACAGACACCACTGTAACTGCAGATGCTCAAAACCCCTGAACTGAGCCAAATCATGTTAAGATTGGCTACTTATGAAGCAAGCTGAAAATCAGCACTTTTGAGGTCATTCTGCATTTGTGCTTCAGCTTCCAGCACACTTCTCTGCCAGCCTCTCTCCTGTACTACAGGAGAACAGGATGTCCTGCAGGTTCAGATGTGAACAAACAGGACTTTGGGGAATAAAACCTGTTATCAAAATCGCTGGTTTGGCATTTTGGCAGCTGAAAGCATTGAACAGCACAGCTGTAGCTCAAAACACCTCACTTCAAACAGCTTATTGCAGCCTTTCCCCTTGCAGCCTATTACTTCTTTTTTTGGAATCCAAAGCAGCCCTCCCCCAAATCATACTGTTGTTCTCTCACACGCACACAAACACTTTCTGACATATAACAAGCAGAAAACATGTATGTTTTTATGTTTTACTTTACTCACAGGCCTGACCATGCAGGATTTCAGGTGACTTGCAGACTAATTTGAAAGATTGTCAGACTGAACTTCAAGTTTCAAACAGCACAGAATGATTTCACTGCAACATTTTACAGGTTCCCTGTAGGTAGTATGTAGTCATCATTATTGCTCCAAACTGAGCTAAAGGAACATCAGAGCAGAGCCATGAGTAACTCATCCCTCCAGTCCTAGAATGTGCTTTAAGGAAAGCAGAAAGCTATCCCCTCCTCTTCAGGTCGCATTCATCTGTAGGATCTGTGTCCACCCATTATTACCTTCTCTCGAGCAAAGCCACCAGCTTCAGGACAGGTTAGCAAGACCTGGAGGAGAGTTTTGCATTGAGGACAAACACTTGCATTCTGCCTTTGAAATTAAAACCACAGAATCACAGAATCGTTTGGGTTGGAAAGGACCTTAAGATCAGTTCTAATCCCCTGCCACGGGTAGGGACATACCCAGTAAATGTGACCCAACCAGCTCACATTTATTCCTCCTCCCCCAGAACTATAACTACCGAGGTATTTCAGTACCATTGGCAAACTTTTCACGACAGCAACGTGATTTAATGTTCCTCCACAATCACAAACGCCTCTGGCCACACAAGTTCAGACTCGCAAGAGCTGAGATGACCAGCATCTTACTGGAGCTTCTTCCCACACTGTTAAGACTACAAGAGAGGATGAGGAAAGAGGTTTATTCACACGCACAGCCAGGACCCAGAACAAGGGTTCTCGGGAATCAGCATCCACTGGGGCAGACATCTACCCCAAACAGCTTTTCCACACAAATACAGGGTGACAATTGGTATCCTAGTCACTTGGATTTGGCCAGGAGGTACAAAGCTCTAAACCCATGCCACAGGTCAGTAAGTCTCATCTACTTGTCTCCCATGACTGCCCCAAAGCAGCAAACCCACACCTGCAGACAGGAGGCATTCAGACCAGCCACATGTCAAATGTGACCAGCCCAAGGTGTCACCTCAGACCGGCACATTGTTCTATCATGTTCTGTGCTCCTCTTCAGAAACTTTCAGTACTAGTCCTTATGTTACTTGAGGATGAACCGAAAACAAAATGCTTCCCTGTGGCAACCTCGCTGCCTACCCTGACACTGCTGCTGCCATTTCAGTCTCCCTTTTTGAGCTCATCAAATGCTAATACAGGTGATGAAATAAACTCTTAATTCCAAACCACAGCAGAAATGCCTGGACTCAGCACTGGCTACACTGAGCTGCAGAATGGATGGGGTTAAGATCAGCACAGAGCCAAAACAGGCAGTGAGGGCTGTGGTTCATGGGCCAGTCAGGAGGGTGCTAGGTCCCTGGAAGAGGCTCCCTAGGGAGGAGCCTGCCAGGAGTCGAGGAGGATCCAGACAATGCTCTCAGTCACGTGGTTTAGTGTTGGGCATTCCTGTGAGGAGCAGGGAGTTGGACTCAATGATCCTTACGGGTCCCTTCCAACTTGAGACATGATTCTATGATTGAGGAATGATTCCATGACCCCACACCCACAGCCATGAGCTAAGCTTACCTCAGAAAAGCTCTTTAAATGGTTGCATGCTACAAATACCTCTTCTGACAGCAGCTGTGGTACAGCTCATAACCCTCTAGAAAATCATCTGTGAACACCGGGTGTTATTAAAGGGATGCTCCAGATTCTACATTCTTCCTGAAGAACCACTACATTAAACTACAGATACCCCCTGTAACTCCTCTCTCACAGCACCACCAAGCGAGGAAAGGAGACAACACCAACACACCTCTGAGCCACAGCATGTGTAACAGAAAAGCTGCTGTTCAGGACAAAGTGTTACCCTGGGATTATTCTACCTGCACAGCCCCGGGCATGTCACAACTTGCCAGTAAAGGGTCATACCTGATGACCACCTCATGAGAAGCTGCAGGAACTACATGAGGCCATGCTGACATCTCCAAGGGCTCTTTGGTCAGCTGAGAACTAGAAATCTTCCCCTCACCTGTGAACACAAAAAAACTATAGCTTTTTCAATAGGACCAAAAGCATCCCTACGTTTTCCCTTAACATCAGAGTGTCTTCCAAAGACCCCACTGAATTAACACGAACCTTGCTTAGACTTCTGTCTCTGGACTTTAATGTGACAGAGCTTTTCTCCATCACATTAAAACAAAAACCAGAGAGGAACTGGCCTGAGAAAGCACGGCAAAGGGAGCAGAGCACCCCTCTTCCTTCCCTTCCAGCTCGCCTTCTGACCAGCTGTATCTCTGCTCCTTCTCTGCCACGCCTTTGCTGAGCCGGCTCAGTGCAGTAACTCAGCACATACACTGCTCCTTGCTGGGCTGTTCTCCCAGGGCACTCATGATTCCTGCCAGCCGGTTCACCATGGGCTCTTGCTGGAGCTGGCATAGGGAGGATGTGGCTGGGAGTGAGGTGAAAGGTAGATTCAGGCTCAGTAATTCCACGTGGCCTCTTTCAGCCTCCTGGAGTTACAGAGCTGAACACTCTCCTCTTCCTTGGAAATCTGTTTATGGACTAAAGAGCAGATCCCAGTGACAGCAAGGAGGGAACACCCAGGATGCTCTCCTCTCCCAGCAGCTACAGAGGGAAAATGTGAAAACAAAGGCAAAAAAAGAGTTGCAAAGATTCAACAGCCAGCTCTGAGTATTTCATGGCAGTGCTTATCCTATGACTGAATTGGGAATAGAAAATTTACTGGAAAGTGACTTTAGAACCCATGTGTACGGTAGACAAAGACCCACAAGGCAAACGTCCACTGAGTTACCTGCTCTTGGGGCAACACAAAAGTTCACCTGTAGGACTCCACGCTGTCCTGTACTCTTCTGTCAGTACCAGTCACTGACTGGGACAGACCTGGCAGTCTGATCTGGTTTTACACACAGCCACCGAAGAGACAGTGCTGTCAGCACCTTTCCTCCCAGCCCTGAGCACCTCACGGCTGCAACAGCCCGCCCGAGGAAGCCAGGCCCGCCCTCAGCACGGCCGCCTCCAGCGCAGCCCCTGGGCGCACCTCCCGGGTTGCTCCACAGGGCCCCGCACCCGGCGCTGCCGCTCCCGGGGCCGGGCACCCCCGAGGCCCGGCACGCACCGGCTCGGCTGGCGGCAGGGCCGCAGCGCAGCCCGCGTCTGACACTTGCCGATGCGGCCGGGGGACTCTTCCCACAGAGCTCCACGCGGGCCCCGCCCGGACCCGTCCCCAGCCCCAGCCCCATGGCCGCGAGGCTCCAATGCACCCAGCGCTCCCCTCCCCGGACATGAAGGCAGCAAAGAGCTCCCGCCCCTGCCGCTCGCTGCCCCCCGCCCGGCCCGCACCTGCCGCGCCAGCCGAGCTGCGCACTGCGACACGCGCGCCTCCATGCTCCCGCGCCCGGAACCGGACGTGGCGCGGCAGGAGCGGAAAGCGCTGAGCGCGCATGTGCACAGGGACAGGCTGCAACAGGAGGGCAGCGCCCCCGCCCGGCGGGGAGGACCCTGGCAGCGCGCCGCGACTGCCCCCAGCCCTGGCGGGAGCGGCGGGGCCCGGTGCCTGCCTGCGGCAGCTCCAGCAGCTCCGGCCTCCAGGAGCTGCGGCTGCCCCATCCCTGGCAGTGCTCGAGGCCAGGCTGGACACAGGGGCTCCAGTGGAGGGTGTCCCTGCCCGCGGCAGGGGGTGGAACTGGGTGAGCTTTAAGGCTCCTTCCAACCCAAACCGGGCCGATTCCATGATGTAGATTTGCACCTCATCACAGTCCTTCGGAAGGCAGGGACAGTCCCAGACGCCCCCATCAAACCAAACCCGGCTTTAGGGGTGACCAAGGAGTACTTTCCATCAGTGATTCACAGACCGGTTTGGGTTGGAAAGGCAGCTTGTGAGTTACAGCTCCAGCACCTCCAGTAACCCCTGCGTTTAGAGCAAAATGGGGAAGCGCAGGGGCACCCAAGTCACTCTGGAGCACATCCACCAGCTACCCCTCCAGGACGCCTGCTGGGAAGGGCGTGCAGAACAAGACCCACTAAAGCTGTGCACTTCCACCTAGTGACACCCCCCCAACAACGCAGGAGGCAGCTGCTGAGAAGATGCACATGAGACAAAACCAAGGTGTCCAGAAAGGTCACTTTATTGGAAAACCCGAGAATGGACATAAAACCTGCAGCCCTCCTCCCACAGCGTGGTTTCAATGGGCTCCCCACATCCCCCTCCAGACCCGTTACAGACCGGAGCTGCAGTACAAGCGGTAAAAGTGCAAGTATTCTCAACTTCACACCTACTTTTATGACCTGGCAGGAAACAAAAACGCTTCACAGCTCACAGAGAACTCGTTCACAGCACTGGGGAGTCCAAACCGGCTCCCTGCATTCCCCACAGGGTACAAAACACATCACTCAGCGGAGAGTCCGATGCAGGACATGATAGAAGGCAGGGGTGAGGTTCCTTCAAAGGTATTTATTGCAGTAAAACCTCTAAAAGGTAGAGCTGTACAAAAAGTCTAAACAGCATTATTTAACAGCACCTCACGCTGCGTTTGTTCTTATTTAAAATTCTATTTCCCAAAAATACATTCCTAAATATACAAACTATACAATCTTGTCACTTTAATGCTGGTTTCTGTGATGATAGAACTTTAACCTAAAACTCTTTAAAACATCCACACACTGACAAAAGCTCTAATATACAAACGCCTCAGTACCTTCATAATACCACATAAATAACTTCAAACCCCAAACAGCATGTGTCCAACTGTCCAGAAAGCAAATACTTCATGGTGATCACACATCATCGGCACAGAGCGTCGGGATGTTTATCCTCGGCCGGGTGAAAAAGGCCATCTTCTCTCTAAAGAGAATGATGGGTTGTTAATTCCACACAAGTCTTGCTAGAAACATCCATCATGCATTCCGATTCATCTCTCCAACTGTCGCCACGAGGAGCAGCAGCACATCCTCTCATGACCTACACCTCATATCAGACAGGAGGCATCCTTACAGCTAGACTCACCACGCTGCCAAAAAGCCATTTCAGAAAGGCTTTCGTTGGGTTTTTTGCTTTCAAGGTATGTTTCTTAAGGAAGCAATGGGCTGCTGCTGGATTAAACAAAGGATTTGTGAATTTAGTGCCAGATGGGGAGTGATTTGGAGCACTGCTGGTTGCTTTGTGATCATGTGCAGTGCTGCAGCTTATTTCCCTGACTCTTAGAGCTTATACTTTCATATAAAGATACACAAGTTTTTGTTTAAACAGGACACTTAAGCACTTCTGCAAGGACCAGCCTTCCTCATCAGCATCTTAATCACCCACAGGAAACCATGGTAACAGTCCCCTTTTCCTGCCCTTTCCCCATGACCTGGGATTACCTGAATGACTGCACCTCCAGAGGCTCTTTCCAACTCTGCCCTCGCAGCCTGTGCACATCCTTGGCAGCAGCCCTCATCATTTTATCAGCCTTCAGCTCACACTGGTGTTCTGCTTTCTCCACCTAAACAAACAGTGGGAGAGTTGTTTGTGTTTTCAAGCACAGCCTGGACCCAAGGACTGCAGCCTTCACCATCAAATGCTTGCTTGATGGAGCTCTAAGTGGAGGACACTTCATTTCCTGAGCATCCCAAGCCCCTTGTTTCTAAGACGCAGTGACTACAACCCAGAGGCAGTTACTACTCACTCGCTTTTCCACCAGCCTTAGCAGCAGTCGAAACCTCTCATCATCCTTCACCCACTGCGGCAACTCCTTTTCACCCTGGCTTTGAGCTCGTTCCAGCTGCTCCTTCAGCTCCCTCAGCACTGAGATCTCCTGCACCAGCCGATCGTGCCAGGTTTTTGAAGCCTGCAGGTCCAGCTCCAGGTCTAGCGAGGTGCGCATCAGGCGCTCTGAGCCCACGGACTTCACTGAAGGCTGGAAAAGAAGGGCTGCATGAACACAGGTATAAGAACTGTCCCAACCACCCCCCCGTGACAGGGCAAATGCATCATGAGATCCTACTTTCCAACACTTCTCTTGGCACAAAGCATCGCTATGGACCCTGCTTTCCAATCCATCTCAAGACAGCACAAACTCAAGCAAGTTTCATAGACAAGCATTTTGATTTTGGTGCTTCTACTAAATCTCTTCCTTGGCAGCTTTTCCAAATCAAACAAACCTTGCTTGCACACCTTGCTCCTGAGTTTAATGTCTCATTGCCAGATGAATCCACAATGCAACAGAAGAACCCTGTTTTTTTCCAGTAACATATTATGTTACCTTCTTTCTGCTAGCTTCAAACACAAGCTGCCCCAAGAAAACCATCTCCTTGCGAGCTCAGCATCAGCATCCCAGGGGAATTTCAGTGACTGCATTCCAATGGGCACAGGGGCTCACTGTGTGCCAGTCACTACAACAGGGTCACCTGAGCACCCCTGACATCGCTTTCCTCACCAACTCCTCATATTTATTGGAAGTACTTAAGAATCTCACAGCAGTAAACACAGCCAAACTGCTTGTGCTGCTTCTGCTCTGACAGGGTGGAAAATACTAGGAACCATCTTAAATGTATTGGTTTAAATGAGTTCCATCTCAAACATTCCTGCCTTATTGTGATATATAAAAGTAGCCTTGAGAGACTTGTCACACCCAAAGGCTGTGAATGAAAGCAGGTGGCAACTGATTCATGTTTGCAAATTCTTCTTTTCAAGCAGTTATCCATTGGTTGCAAGTGTATGTGCTGGAGCAAGGACAAGGTGCCGTTGTTGTTACCCGCTTCACTCGGACGCTTCGTCTCTCCAGTGCATTCCGAACGAAGGGTGGCTTTTTGGACAGTGTTGAACTGTCACTGTCACTGCGGTTCAGCTGCAAAGGAAAGGGAAGAGCCCATGAAAGAAGTACAAGCAGTGCATACACACATCATTGGCAAGAACAGGGGCTTCTCCGAGTGATTTTAAGCAGGGATACAAGCAGAACTAGGAAGTTTTGTGGAGAGCTGCTACCCTAATCTGCATTAACATGCAATCCATCTGACACAAACAGATCCTGCCCCAAGCCTTGAACTCCATCACTGTCTGAGAATAGGCTGCATGGGAAGAGAGACACTAGTTTAAGGAGTAATATGGGACTCTACCCCACTGCCCTTCTCCTGGGCAAGTAACTAGGCTGAGCAAAACAGCCCAGAAAAATAAGCTCTAAGTTACAAGTTACTCTTTTCTAGCACCTGTAAAACATGAGGCTATTTTATTAGAGATTTCTTTTTTTTTCTCTCCAATCACCTGTGTTTTAAGCTAGTGGTGCAAGAGGTAGGTTTACCTGTAAGCTATCCTCCTGAGTTTTCCAACTTGGTTGTCACATTACACTCATACAGCTGCAGCCTTTTGTGATTGTCTCTAGACCCTTAAAAAGAGCTCAACTGAAGCAGTGTTTAATTCTCATCTTCCTTCTCAAAGCTGGGGGAACAGGTGCGTGGGATCTGCATGTGCTGGGACACAGAACCACCCAAGCACTGGCCACCCCTGCAGATTAAATCCATTTTGTTTCTATGCAAGCACCTGCTTCTGCGTGGGAGAAAACTTGCACATCAAACCCAGCTCAGCTGCATTAGGAGCATGCCCACTGTGCACAGGTCATGCATGATAAA